CATCTGTCGGGCTGAAAATTTTTGAGATGGGGAGGGGGGAGATTTTCTGAAGCCTAAGAGGTCACTACCTCCATAAAAGGAGTGGTGAGATTTCACCAGAGCTGGAAAGCAATATCTTTGCAGGACGGGAATGTGGGTTCCTCTGTAGGGTAACCGCTTGGGTGGGGCGGGGTTCAGAGGGATTCGTCATGTGCTCACATTTGCTTTCCTCGAAAACCTCAGCCGCTGTCCAGAAGATTGTCACCATAGCTCCGCCAAGGAGGGAAGGGGAACCAGCAGCCCCCATCTGTATAAAAACTGCAGATGTCAGGCACGAACCTCCCCCCATCCCATCAGCCAAAACGTGACTGAATCACAAGGAGTCGGATCGCCTCTCTACCAGCAGTGGGCGGGGGTGCCCCGTGGAACGCGGCAGGGCCAACAGTTGCTGGACACTCCAGGAATGCCAAGGAGATTCCCCGGCACATTCCGGTAACTGCCAAGGCAAGGGAAAGCTGCCAACACCAGAGGTTTCAGTCTCAACTGGATTAAATACCGTAACAGACATAGAAGCATCACATGGGCAGCCTGAGGTCACTAGAAAAGAGCCGATAGCCCACCTTTAGGTGACCTTTTAGGTTGATGGAGCAGCAAGCTAGATTTTACACAGCCCCACCTTAAACGCCTACCACCCCCCCTTTCTGAGATCCACATGACAGCTTGTGGTCAATCATCATGACTGCAGACAATCGGAAGAATTCCTTTGTCTATGGGCTGGAGGATGAAACAACCACCATTATAAAGGACAACATGGACATATGGGTATAAGGTTGGGTGATTTCTCTATCGGGGAGTGCAGAAGATCGATACCAAGGCCACTTAGCTTCCACTTTGCCATCCCAAGCTGTATACCTCTAAACATTAATAAAACATTACACGGTCAGCCTTTTAGGATACTGAGAAAGCAACGTCCAATCGAAAATCATAAAGGGACGACTTAAAGGAGACGGGACTGGATTGCAAATTCCTCCACTTGACCCACAAGTTCATTGCCCCCCACTGAGTCTCAAAAATGTAATTCTCTTGCTAGTACCGGCAATCCGGCATATCCTCTGGATGCAGAAACGACAGCCCATCACCTGGGATCGTGAGAGTATTAACAGCACTCAAGCGGGGATGGCGATGTGGAGAGAGGCGGCTGCCCATTTTCACTCAGACCAATCATTTCAGGGATCAAACAGCCACTTGGGCACCAGCGTTAATGAGCGAGGACACGGACACGGACGTCGTTGGGCAAAGAGACTGCCAAGGCAACAGCAAAGGACAGATAATCTGGACAGTCCCCAGCAGTGGCAGAAGATGGGGAGCAAATCTGGGGACTCCTCAATCATTTTAGGTTGTCTTCCAATGTGCTCTTCCTATATAACAGGTTCACTCAATCTACACTAATCAGAACTAACTTCTCCTGTAGACATGACCCAAACCAACGGAACCACAAGCAGTCTGAATGCGTTAATAAACAGGGTCTTAAAATGAGCCACATTCGCAAACATCTCGCATCTCTGTCACCACGCAAATGCTACAGAACTGATCTAGAGCATCTTGACAATAATCACCCAGCCTGGATGCTGTAAGAATCTTTTCAAACAGCAATTATTTTAGCCAACTTGTTTCAGACAAAAGGGTGAGACACATGCAGGCACCCACTGCCACAATAATATTAGTCCAGAATTCCACCGAATGAAATTCTAATCCAAAGCACACAGCAGAAATAATGATCTTGCTGGTGAACATGTTAACAATGTGTCCACACAAGCCCTTGTCTAACTCAAATGTTTGCACTGCTCATTCACCTCCACTGATACCAAGACTGGCCATTTGCTAAAAACAACACAGAATACATATTTTCAGGGATAATTTAGAAATTGTTGTAAAATTCCAAGCTCAGAAAGCATTTTTATTCTGTGTGTGCAGCTTCTGTGATCACCACCTGTCACCCATGGAGGGTAAAGATGCCTCATCACCCCCACAAATATGACTCAAAACATTGATAGAAGACATGCCAACACCCCACTGAGCATGGAGTTGAGGTAAGCTTGTGATCGAGGCAGGCTTGTGATCGAGGCAGGCTTGGGATAGAGGCAGGCTTGGGATAGAGGCAGGCTTGGGATAGAGGCAGGCTTGGGATAGAGGCAGGTTTGAGTCCAGTTCAGGTGTTCATCCAATTCCCACTAACAGAATTTCAGCAGCTCAGAGCCACATTAGGAAGGCTGTGCTAGATGTCCAAGGCATAAACAGTTAAAAAAGCTCAGCAGACTTGTCTTCATGCTGACCTTTATTATTGTATCATGGGTCGTAGACAGAACACACAAGTGGCAAAAACAAACCTGGATGCAAATTTCTAGGAGATACTAGGAAAGCAGCAAGATCATACCGGTGAGTCTAAATAAAGGCAAAAAAAGAGAGAGAAACAAATGAACATGCAGTTCACTCATCTCATACATAGGGGGGAGAAACACCCAACTGGGGGTTTCCTGAATGAAAATGAATATCTATTTAAAACAGATTTTAGTGGAGAACAAATCCTCAGGTCCTGGCTTGCAACTGTCTGAGGGAACTTTCAGTCCAAGCTGTCTTCCCCACAGAGGTGTGAGGACATGAATGGCACACTGAAGTGACCAAAGGAGCCATGGGCTTCGAGGCCCCAGACACCTTCTCTTCAGCACCCCGATGTCGCTGATTGACAGGACCCACTGGCCACGTGAGAAACGGCAACGACTTGGCCTCTCCTCCTCTTCTCCCCTCACCGCCCATCCCCCAATCAACATCTCCCAGTAGACACTCACTTCTGATGAAGATCTGCAGCTGTGACTAGGGAACCCCCCCCCCCCGCAGCAGCCACCAAATCCTCAAAAACAGGAGCCACCAGGGTTCCCCAGGGAATCGATCGCACGGCAGGACAGTCAGTCGGGTTGACCGCTAGCCGAACATCCAAACATCCAGAAACAATGAATGAATAAAATATTGAACACTTGGTGAACAGGAAGACCGCACAAGACAGGTCCCGTCTGTCAGTTAGTCAGTGATCTTATTCTGTGGTATCGTTAGTCACATCTGCTGACCCGAAACCTTGTTTTTAAATGACTAAAATCCCAAACGCGGAGGACGGAGGACATGGCGCGCAGAGACGCAGCCTGGGCCCAGCGTAAGCCTGCTTCCCAGTCCAAGCGGCTGTCCCTCAGCGAGCTCTTGGTTCAGGTTGCTCTGTGTCAGCCTATTCAGGCACATTTTTGCAAGCGACAATCATTTGTGTGTGTTTTCTGTGTTCCTTCAGAGACATCACGCACCAAGAAAACCAGTTGGGCTGCATTTTTCTCATACCCTCCCCAGCCAGTCAAAAGCCCCTCCCAACCTGCCCAGTGACCTTAGAGGGCTTTGAATCAGTGGATGACCTGGGAGGATGGAGCTCCGGGTCCTACGGAGGTGACATGGGACATGTTTCCCTCCATTTCAGCCCCGTTTCCCTCCATTTCAGCCCTAATGGATGTGACTGTCGTCACAAACTGCCGTCACATCCATTAGGAGAACCCCAAACAAGTGTGCAAATAATACTCGTTTAATGATGTCCTATTTTGCTATAGGGACGCTTCAGTAAGTTTCATAACATGCAACGAAATTTGTGAGACAGATACAGGTAACAATTCAGAAGTTACCAAAAATATCCATCTTCCATTAAACAGCAAATAAATAAAAATGTGTCTTATTCAGACCAATATCCTGTTTTATTTAAATACAACGAGGACATTTATTTTCATTGTGTATGACAAATTCCTGTAAAAAGGGGGAGAGGATTTTAATATCTCTTTGGATCACCAAACACCCTTATGGATGCAAACGACCGAAAGGGATCCTTGAATACCCAGGTCACTTTTATACCTCTTCATAATGGAACGTCTAGGACACCCCCCCAATTTGAAATAAAGAATTTCATTAACAGCCTAACTTAATGGTTGATGTGATCCGGTATGGAGGAGCGCGCGCAGCAAAGAGGAGGGGGTGTATGCAGTTTTACGAGGACACCTGTCATACCTACAAAGACCACCGCACCAGAGACATCGGCGAGCTGGGATATTTGATTGCATTATTACAGTGACAAAAGGTCACTAATTAAGCCCTAATTATGGACATCTATCAGCGCCTTTAGGGCATACATACTACATTAATTATATGACCTAGACGCATACAGCACAAGTATATAAAGGCATGTGTACTGCTTCATAGGGCGAGGCTCTTCGGTTGCGATGGACACAGAAATGAATGAAAGGATCCCGAACAAAGCGGGAAAGGTGCCTCGTCCGCGGACCGGGGCGAGCCCATTGCACTTCGGTGAGGAAGTCACTGCGGATGCAACAACGGGGGGAAAGGATCACACCGCAATGATCCAGCAACCCCCCCTTCCCTCCCCTCCCCACCATGAGTCACTTAACACCGGTCACTCATATATCTCCTCTAAGATCAACAACGCTGCACATCATCCTGGCACTTGATGCGGTTGGGAGGGAAAGGAAGAAAAAAACAGGTTTCGACAGAAGCGGGTGTCCAGTTACTGATCAAAAGCGATGTCTAAGTTTATGGAAACATAGTATCCACCTCAATCCCTGGTGCATAGCTGCAATACCGGAACGGCGAGGCGCCACAATGGCATTAACAAAGGGCAGTTTTCTTTTTCCCCCCCGACTGCTTTGCAGTAATTTTAGGGTTGGGCAAACACTGCGTATAAACCCTTTAGGTAAAAGTAACCAGAAATCTGCCCCCCAGCCCCATCGCCCGTCAAGAACAAACAATCACACGGGGGGCAAGTGCTGCAATCCCAAAGCTGTCAGCATCGATCCGGACGTTTGTTTCGACAAACCGACGGCGGGATCCGATATAAAGGGAAACAGGACTACAGCATGCGGTATGAAGCGGGAGAAAAAGCAGCGGTGCGCCTTGGATCACAGGCGATAACGAGCGGGACTGACCTCCTCCAAGGCGGCCACGGTGTTCCTGCAATGAGACATCCGAGTGGTGAAGTTGGAAGCGGTCGGGGACTTATAATCTTCATTTGTCTCGGCCACGAATTCCGCCACCGTGATCTGGTCCGGCATATTAAAGTTATTATTGTTAAACTCCTTTATTTTTTTTTATAAGTTAGAGTGCTGATCCCCGAAATAAAGACGATAAAACAAGCCGACACCAGGGACGAACAAAAGTTTAGCATAAGAAAGTCCGACGGATTGATTTGGGGGAGTCCATCGCTGGATGTGCGCGGTTCCCACTCCCACTACGCCGGGAGATACTGGACGAGCCAAACCCAGCGGCGCTGCAACGGGCAGCTGGTCCCTGAATCTCTTTCCCAGCTTCTGCTGCAAAGGGGGTTTTAATCGGGTTGTTCGCAGCCGAAACTAGTCGGGGAGATTAAAAGCTATATTATTCATTTCTTGTATCCTTTTAAAAAAATGGATAAAAAGCCAGAAGGCTGACTTTCCGCAGGCTTCCGTGCAGCCACGGAGATCAGCAAACTTCCCGGCGTGGGAAACTGAGGTCTTTCAATGAAAGCGCAGAAAATTGACAAAGTAAAAGGTGGAGGAACGGAGGGAAGGGGCCGAGCGTTCAATGGACGAGGTCCGACCAATGGGAAGAAGCACCAGTCCTCCTTACAGCCAATGGTAACCCGCGGAAGGCGTGGCCAATACCAGTGTACCGCCGCGGCCCAATTCCTTTTAAGGTGGAATACGGGAGTTGCCCACAAAACTATTTCAGGTGTCTTAAAGCACAGAAACCTCCCCTGCAGCAAAATGATGATTTTTCTTGCCCCAAGCAAGAATCAAGTCAAGTCCAGTTTATAGCACATTTAAAAACAACTGGAGTTGACCCGAACTGCTTTCCAGTCGAGGAAATGAAGGAGTAACAAATACTACATACATAATATAATATATAAATAAAAATAACATGGAAACTCACATACAAGAAATAAGAATTAGGTAGTAAAAATAATAATTAAAAGAAATATATTAAAACAAACAATCGATGAAAAGCAATTAAAAATAAATTGAGTGTTATTAAAACGAATTAGAAGTAAATTAGGAGTAGAACCTCAAACTGTGCTGAAAGCAAGAAGGGAAAAATGTGGCTCTTTAATTCTGATTTAAACCCGTCAATAGTGGAGCAGGACCTAATGTTGGATGGGAGACTGCTCCACAGTTTGGGGGCAGCTAGAGAGAGAGCCCAGTCACCTTTTGTTTTGAGAGGTGAGTGGGGGAATGAGAAGAGCTGTTGTGGGGATGACCTAAGTGACCTGGGGGCAGAATACAGAATTAGCAGATCTGAAATGTATTGTGGGGCTAATCTGTCAAGTGCTTTCAAAACAAATAGCAAAATCTTCAAACAAATTCTGTATTTCACAGGCAACCAATGCAACTGAGCCAGAACAGGAGTGAGTGTTAATAGGCTAGCAACTACATTTTGAGTTATTTGTAGTCAAGAACATATGGAATGGGGCAATCCCATGTACAGGGAATAACAGTAGTCAAGCAGACAGGTGATAAAAGCATGGATAACTATTTCCAGGTCCTTAAGAGATAAAATCAGCTTTAACTTGGCTATAGTTTTAAGACAATAAAAGTTGCCCTTTACAACACGGCTGACGTTTTTTGAAATTCAGAGAAGCATCCAAAAACAAGCCAAGGCTTTTACTTCATTATGCTAATTTGCTGACAGATAACCAAGCCTGCTGCTAAGTCTAGTGACAGAGTTTAGGGGGACAAATACGACTACTTCGTTTTTGTTTTCATGCATTTGGAGGCAGTTCCTCGCCATCTAGCATTTAATATCATCTAAGCAGCTGAGCAGGTTCTTCAGAGAACCGGCGTTATCAGGTGTAACTGGAAGGTAGAACCGTGTGTCGTGTGCAAAAGAATTATACAAAAAAAAATATTTTTCAAAGATAGAAACAAAGAGAGCATGTATAGTGAGAATAAAAGAGGCCCATAATGGAACCTTGGGGAACGCCACATTTAATGGGGGTGGACTATGGAAGCAGTTATCTGTTCTGATTGAGAAGCTTCTTTCTCTTAAGTAGGAGATAAACCATTACAGCACTGGGCCTGGCAGACCAACTTCCATCGCCAAGCATTTTAAAAGTATGTCATGGTCAATTGTGTCAAACGCTGCAATGAGATCAAGTAGGATTAAGCTGTAGAATCAACATAAAGAAGGGTGACACTCTATACCTTCAGAGGGCAGATTCTGTACTATACAAAACTCTATAGCCAGACTGGAAATTGTCAAAGATGTTAAACTTGTTTAAGTAGGATGTGACCTGGGAGAATACAACATTCCAATATCTTGGAAAGAAATGGTAGCTTGGAGATGGGCCTGTAGTTTGTATGAACATTGGGGTCTATACTAGGTTTCTTTAATAGAGGTTTTACAATTGCATGTTTAAAATTGGAAGGGATGACTGCACTAGTCAACAGCTATTCATTATAACAAGAATAAGGGAGAGTGATTGTAATAAAAACATCTTTAGATAGATGTGATGATGTAATGTCTAAATAAGTGGCAGTAGGTGGCATTCAGTTGTGAGACCACCTCCGAGAGCTGGGCAGACGAAAAAGGTGAAATTGGTAGATGTAGCTGATTGGATGATGCATCTCTGAGGCATCCATATCTGCAGGTGAGATGTTAGGTCTTATGGTGTTAACTTTATCGATGAAGAAACAAGAAGTAGCAACAGCAGTTAGCAGGAATATTTAAGATTTAATTTTGCCGAATAATGTTTTGGGTCTGTGGGCATTTTTATTGATTCGTTCAGCGTAATATTGTGCCTAATATTAGCATAGCTTTGGTAGAGCTTTAAACAATCTCCTAAAATTCTGTAAGAGACCTGAAGTTTGTCTTTTTTCCACTGATGCTCTGCCCTTCTGCAGTCTCGTGTAAGAGCGTGGGTGAAACCATTCTTATTTCTTTATTTTTTTTATTATTATTACTTTATTCTGATTTTTTTATTTTTATTTATTTGTTTTATTTAATGTCTGGTTCTGTGTCTGTGCAACACTGCTCTATGTGCCTCAAATTGCCCCTCCGGGACAAATAAAGTTTTTTTATTTGATTTGATTCAGCCAGGGGGTGCCAGCATTGTTTGCCTGTGGTCTCTAGTTTTATGGGAGCTATACAATGCAGGGTATCAGTGCATGGAAGAAGGGCATCTGAGATACGAGGTGAGTGAGCATGAATTTATTGGCAAAACAAGTGGCTGCAGGATTTATATATTGGGCATGGGGTTGGGAAGACGGCCCATGGGGGTTTTACTTAAACAAAATGTTCTGAGGGCAGAACGAAAAATGATTAGTTCAGAGAGAAAACCAATCAGTTTGTAGAGGAGGTGGGTTCAAGCAACTGGAGGAAATGGGACCAACCAATCAGATGTCTTGGTCCCACCTTTTCTAGTTGCTTGCGCCCACCTTCTCTATAACCTGACTGGTTATCTCTCTGAACCAATCATTTTCCATTGTGTTCCGACATATTGGAACCGATACTGATTGGATACGATTAGAAGAATCCACAAGGCATGAAAACTCACTGACAAAGCTTTCGATCGAGTGGAAATATGGATGTTAAAATCCCCTACAATCAACAGAATTATCATCAAGAGGCCATAAATGACAGAAGGTCAGACAACTCTTTGTTCTGTTGATATATGCTGCCTTGTCGAAAAATGCTACCGTAGTGCTAATCAATAGCCGTAACCCTAACTCTTACCCTAACCCCCCAAAACCCCTAAAACCCTTACCTTAACCCTAACCCCTAAAACCTAACCCTAATCCCAAAACGGTGGAACTGCACATGCGCAGAAAGGCTCGATAGCACGTCTCGATAGGTACAGTAGCATTTTATGACAGAACACCAGCATGAAACGTCGGTCTCCTCTTAACGTACCACAGGCAAGACAAATAATAAAAAAGAAAATAGCGATATTCTTCTGGAAGTAAAAAAGCGCATGTAATCCCCCGAAGATATAGTTTATTGCTGCTTTCTGTATGTCAGTGCCTCTAATAATTAGTGACAGTTGTTAACGATTTCTCGTTATCAGGTCATCAAGGGACAACAAAGTACCAAACCCAGAACTGATGTCTGTAACTGAGCCTTCAAGTGACAATTTATTCTGGTTCCATTGTCTTTGAAACAATGAGTCAAATAAGAGTGTTTTATGTGGACAAGTGTCTTGCTCTTTTAGTGAAGATTAATCGGTGTTTAATCGTTTGTATAAGTAACCCACAGATAACTCCAAGTGACTCAGGGTTTTTTCTCTATCCCAGCCAAACCACATTACCCGTAGGTTATTATGCAGAAAATTGATTCTAAACCGGATCATGTCAAATTATCTTTAATGTTGTGCTTCTAGTTACGTTTTTAAACCAATGTTTTTGTCAGTACAAGCATGTTAATGTATTCAATCACTGGTTATATAGACCACACGGTAAATATTGATTTTACACATTAAGATTGATATAATACATCATTCAATTGCATGCATTGTATACCCGCACCTCTTAATTAGCATTTTTAAATATATTTTTAGAGATCCCCGTAACAGGGCATTTGAACAATGGACTCAAATCACCATTGTTCTGTGCATCCAGTCCCAGTCACTTATCCAGAAAAGGCTCGTGGTGAACTGCCATATTAAGCGTCTTTTTATGTGCACCTGTCAACGGGTCATAAATCCCCATAATTTACATAAGTGCATCACATAAGTGATTCATTTGACGCCGGCATTATCGAAGACTGTGCTGTGTTCGGCGGGACATATTAACAAAGCCTGTTACATTGTAATGCACAGAAACAGTTAATCAAACCATATGCTGTAGACAGTGACGCCTTTGAAAAAGATGCTGCTCTGTCGCTCTTCTTCATCAGTCATTCTGCAGCAGACTTGGGGGGGGGCAGGAATGGCGTGCTTGGGCAAGTCTGTGATGATAAAGGAGACCCTGTAAGCGGGGGGGGGGGGCTTCGCGCAGTCGATCGCGAGCCCTTTTCCCCGGGTACGGGGTGCTGGTGTGATCACCGTCCAGGTGATGATCCTATTCCGGAGAGGCTGGATCTCGGAAGCAGGACTGCTGGATGCCTGCATGTAGACCCATCCCACGAGTGCCGTATTCCCCGTGGGGATGCTGGCACGGCCGGTTTGGGTGGGGTTCATGATTCATTCAAGGCACTCAGCTTGGGGGGGATGAATGAATCTAAATTAAATTTCCCGCCTACATCTAAGTGTCACTAAAGAAGGGTTATATATAATATAAAGGGTTTATAAACTTATTTCGCATCCAAACACCTGTGTGAAGTCAGGGGAGGAAAAGAGCCGCATTGTGCCGTTGCTGCTGGCCGCCCCTCCCCCTGCGAGCCTGCTTCCCGGAGGGCTGCTGTTTTGCCTGCGCTTTTTTAGTGCGGCCGGGGGAGCGGAGCAGAGCTGCTGACGCTGCGCGAATCCGCCGAGCCTCGGCGGGACGGACATTGTTGTAAATATAGAGGCGGCAGCGCCAGCCGGACCTCGGGCTGTAAATCGC